AAAAAATTAGATTTGTCACAGACATCTATGCTTGCCCTGGGAGGTAGGCTGAGGTTGAATGCTAAGGAGAAAGAGGGAGCATCTGGCACTGCCTGTGGGGAGTGATGGTGCAAGATGTAAAGTAAAGCAGGTTGTAATTACTACCAAGAAGGTGGATAATTCTCCAAATTTGTAAAGTTGATTAAGAAAGCAGAAATAAGAAACAAAAAACCATTATTGAGATTAATGTGAAGATTGAAGAATCAACAAATCCCCAAAACCCTTCAGGTCCCACACGAGTTTTGGGCTGAAGTGCATATAAGCAGATGTCTTTGAGCTCTCAGAGCTATGGGCTGCAAATCCTGTATAGAGTGTCTCTGGAATCCACATCAGTTGCCACCAGATTTCCTGATTCTGAAAAATTTTGAAATTATTAGGCAAAGTACAGTGTTATTATAGAGATTGATGTGGGACAGGTTAATTTTTGTTGTACCAAAAACTATAAACCAACTGAACATTAACCCAATGAATCTGATTTTATTTTTTCGTTGTAAAGGTAGTTCTTCCCTTAATGTATTACCCACCATATCTTGAACCAGCACTATGATTACTACATTTGATCTTCCGTTGCTCTGAGATGAAGAACACAATGTGGACAGAGTTGGTGTGGATCAAAGCAGCCAACAACCAGCTTGAACCATCATCAGCATTGACCAGTGCAGAGTAAGACCTGTGGTTAAAACAGCATCCTAAGACCTTGAGGACCAGACCATTAAACATAGTTACACCATCAGGTGTAGGCAGCAGTAAAAGGGGCTATTATTGTATACACTTTCAGGTTAAGCACCATTTTGCCAGATAGACATTCAGTTGCTATCTGAAACAAGGTGGAAAAAAATCATGAAGGTAAAATGATTCAATCCCTACTGCCTTATTACCAACATCCACTTCTGCTATCATGGATCAACATAAGATAGGAGACATTACTCATGGTGTAAATCTCAAAGTTTTCATTTCTAAAAGTTCTTATGCTTAACATTAACTAAAAATTTTCATTTTTTTTTTTTTTAAATCAGATGTTTCTGGTAAGGAATTGCACCAATCTAACATTCATCCTTTAACTCAAAATCAAGTAATATAAAAATAGTTAATGTTTTACATAATTTTTTTTTTACTGCACCTTTGTGTGCTTAAATGAAGGACATTACTTATAAACAGTTTACTATTTAATCCAAAAACCTATTTTCTGTTTCTTGGCAATTAAATTTTTCATCATTATTATGGCATTTATGAACATTGCCAACTTTTTTTCTTTTTTTTTTTTTTAAATTTCAACACGAACAAATTCATAACTTGAATGTTTTCATTATATACACACACACAATTTGATTATGAAAATAGTTATGTTGGTCAGGTAATATAAATTTTCTTCCAAATGCAAAATAAAAACTAAAAGTACTTTGCACTCTAGAATATGAAGTATCTCCTAAAGGATTTAACCAATACTCACACTGTGCATTTGAAATTTTGTTTTGTATAAACTTTCTTATAAAGATGTAATTTGGAATCTCAAACAAGTCGAATTTTATAAATTCTATCAATTCAAGAAAAACAAAGCAATGTATGCTAATTAAACTTTTAGAGTATCTTTAATTGCTTCCCAATAACAATTCTCTCTCATTATATATAGAGACTTTCTAAATATCGCATTTAAAAAATTATAATGAATACCTATTATTGTAGCCAAGTTCAATAAGTTCAAGTATTGTTTGTAAATACTAGTTTAAAAAGAAAACAAGTCAGTACATTTTGCTGTTTGAGATTTGTTTCTAAATTTTTTTTTAATCAGTTTGCTATTGCACTTGATTAAAAATAACTATTAAGCCATCTTTCATTTTGCAGAGATTTTTAAAAACTCTGAACTTATTTTGCAGTTATGATATTGAAAAAGAAAATTTTAACAACCGAGCATATTTTTACACTTATAAAATACAAAACTTATTCTAAATATCTGTGACTGCAGGTACCAAAACTTTATCCCAACTGTGATAGTTCCAAAACTTTTTATAAATATATACATGAATTCAAAATTAATTATGAACCAAAACTTAAAGCAGTCACAAAATATGAATATTTTAAGATTTACAAATTTGTTTTATATTAAAAAAAAAAAAAAAAAAAAAAACATTTAGAAATGATCTTCCAACTTCTTAATTTGTATTTTATTTATGTGGTTAATAAAACAAAATAAGAATGGGTACTGAAAAGTTTTTGGTTAGACCAAGAAGCCTTTACAAAATATTTCAGAATTTTAAGTCAGAGTTTGGGAAGCAAATTGAGCAGAGAATTTTTCATTACTGGTAATAAATAAAAAGCAAGAAAAACTGGCCTCAAAACAATTTATCACACTTAAGATAAAATTCATAAGTTAGTTTGCAAGATCAGAGATAATGGTATTTCCCAAAGCCTTTATTGATTTTTCCACAATGTAAATAATTATTCTGCAAAATAAGCATTAAATGCTATATTAAACAAAAATGTATTGAAATGTTATTTGTAAAATAAAGTTATTTATTTTTTATGTATAAAATATTTAAAAATTATGTAACTAAGATTCACAAACTTTGGATCTGCCACTTATCAAATGACTGGTATTTTGGAAGAAGATGTGTTTACTTATATTTAATAACTAAATAAAAATAATGACCAACTAACAGACACTAGAATGGTATATTTTTTGTTTCATTATTGGTAATACTGAGAGAGTTGAAAATGTTACAAAACAAATACAAAAAATTAAAGACAATTATTTTTATTGAAGAATCACCATCTTATTTTCAATTAAAGCAAAAGAATTTCTAAAATCTGAAGAAAAAAAATTATCAAATGTTCAAAGTTATAAATACATTTTGTCAAAAATAGAAATAAACCTAACCAGTGAAACCAACCCAGACATATAATATTTAATAAACCAATTGGAAAAATAATAAAATATTGAGTTGATATATTAATCCCAAACTAGCATCTTACCCTGCATATATGGATAACTCAGCTACTCTAAGGAAGAATGTTTATCTAAGAGATTAATTTAACTGCAAGAGGAGTTACAATGCAGGTCTCCTGAATGAGTGAGAATCCTGCTCACATTCACTAAAAGGAGAAGGCAATAGTACGTAAGCAAGAGTTACTCTTAATGCCTGCTAAAAGGAAAAAAGAGGCAAAGATTAGTGCTTGGCTCTGAAGAGATGACACAAGCTTTCTATTCATTGTTGACATATGCACCGATAAATGGTTAGATATGATACTAGAATCACTACCAACCAACCACAAGGAATAGAGAAAAGCTTGTTAAAGGGTTTTTTTTTTTCCCTCTAAAATCAAAACACAGCAACTTTACACAAGGAAAAATCTCTTCCATTTTTTGTTCTCCCTTTTCCTCTTCACTTATTAAGGACAGGTAGTTTTAAGAAAAGAAAAAATCCTCAACAAATTATAAATAACAATTGTGAGAGATGTAATCTTTCAAAAGAGGAAATTCAGATTGTTCTTACAAAGACTCTTGTCATACAAAATTAAAATACAACTGAAAAAAAGTAGAAAAATCTGATAAATACAAATACTGAGCAAAGGATTGACATGTTAAAACTTTGCAAAACAAGATTCCAAAAAGACTATTAAGGTTATAAGATTACAAAATCATTTACAAGAGATAAAAATAGAATTCGACAATATGGATGTAGAAGGTATACATGTGTATTTGTAAAAATGTTATTTCATATACAAAGACTATGAAGTGGTCTTGTAATTGTCCACAATACTTTCTTTACAACTTATTCATTATAAATTTACCAGTAACTCACTTTTATACATCTCAGTAAACCCCAATTACTACTCAATCACACACAGAAACATGCAATCATTTCAGCAACATGAACATATGCTTCAGCAATACCTTGAAGAAAAAAAAAAAAAAAAAAAATAAATTACAAAAAAAAAAAAAAAAAAAAAAAAAAAATTATATATTTATTACTGTTCAGAATTTCAGAAAAATGGTCCAATTTGTAATTCGGAAAATATTACAATCCTAATGAACTCTTATATAACTATTTGTAGGAGGCATCAATTGTAGATCGGCAATGTCATAATGGACATTATGTTTATATTTTGGTGACATTTGACAAAAACATTTCTTCCAGTTTGGCAAAGCAGATCAACTTGGAGGCTATGCCTTTATTCTCTTAACAAATTTAACAATCCAATTCATAAAGCTAATTTTAATATAAGGCTTCAGAAAACAGCCCAAAATGAAAAAAAAGAATTTAGAAGTAGATTCATTACAAGAAACCTAATGAACAAAGACTTAAAATGTTACATAACTATTCTATCTATCGCACAAAGAGTGACATGTACAGTACTTGGAATTAATCAATAGGAAGGAAAAATTCCAAAATGTTTTTTCTAGAAAGTCAAAATAGAATTGATATGAAATAGAATTATAAATAGCCAATAATGATACCAAGAATTTATTGCTCCTGACAGAAACTAATTTAACTAATATCAGTTGCACAAATTACATTAACAAAAAAAAAAGTCAAAATGCCTTAAATAAAAATGGTACTGCAACTGACTCGAGCAAATGTATGATTGTGGCAAGAGACAAAAATCTGGTCAAACAGGAATTGAAAAGGAAGAAATAATATTCAAATAATGGCCAAGGTAACTGTTCACAGCAGCTTCAGCTGATGACATTCTTTTACATTGTCTTTCTACAGTTTTGTAGAAGTCCACTTCAATGTACTTTGGACATATCCCTTTAAGTTGACAGGAAAAGAAAATCAAGTATTTCTTTTTGCTTTGTTTTATTGGGTATTGTTTAATTTGTTGTTTTTCAGATGCTTTAAAATTACGTTTTTTGTAACGAGGCTAGTAGAGTGAGGTGTTTTATCCATTGTTTGTTTGTTGTTTGTGTCCTTTGTTATAAAGGAACACATGTGGGGCATGGGATAAAAACTCTCATTACTTCAGTCCAAGGCATGTTGGGTGATAACAGCAGCCCAGTTGCAATACTTTTTCAAGTACATAAACATCCTGCAAAGAACCGAGTAGTAAGTGATTAGTCTTCTTCAATAGAAAAAAAGAGGAAAATAGGAAGAGGTGGAAAACTATCATAAAAAATATTTAAGACTTTTCTTTCAGTTAAAATTAGGATTAACACGAAATAGCATTATTTCCATACATTATATTTCTGCTACAGGCAGCCCAATTCATTGTTTTTGTGCATTTGTTAAAGCACCAGTGGTCAGTCTTCAAACCCAGATTAAGATTCTGAATGTTTTTTAAGGCACAGAGTGAGACAGGTAAATTGTTGCCATTTTATATTTTTAATTTCATGCATATGTGTTGTTTGTTTTTGTCGGCTGCACAGTATAGTAGGGTCAGTTGGGCAGTCTGCAAGAAAAAGAGCATCATGCCGCTATTCATTCCACTAGAAATTTGGAAACACCATGCTGTACTGCTTGACATTTGTGCCAGAAGCTTCAATACAAACATTTCAAAAGGTACAGCAACTGTGAAAACTCACTGATTGTTCTGATAAGAAAAGAACTCAAATTTGTTGGTGATTGCGTCAGACACAGAGGCTTGCATCAAGTGCCTTGAAGAGGTAGTGCTGCTCTGGGTCAAGAGGGTGGCTACTGGAAGACCCTATGTCTGGCAACAGGAATCTGCACCATGCCACACAAGCAGGAGAACTTTGTCATGGCCATCAGACAATTTCTGCAACCACATCATCTCTTAAATCTGGCCCTCCAACTCCCCAAACTGCAACCCTCTTGATTATTATATGTGGGGCATAGCTGAGCAAGAAACAAACAAAACTTCTTGTAACACCAAAGAAACTGAAAGCAAGGATTATGGCAGCATTCACCAACTTAAACAAGGAAACTGTCCAGAAGAGATGCAGAAGATTCTGAAGTCATTTGGAAGCCATGGCTGAAGGCAATGGCAATTTTATTGAATAAATTTACTCTTTAGTATTACAAGATACTTTTGTGTAATTTTGTTAAATATATCTGTTAAAATGAGATGTAAGTGTTATTTTCATTTTTGTGTAATTTAGACAACAATTTATCCATTACAACCTGTATAGGAGGATTGATATAACAATTTCAACTTAATATGCCAAAGTTAAGCATATTAGAAATACTATAAATTTAGTGCTGTTTTTTGACCAATAGTGTCAAAGGAACTTTAAAATATTATTTCTGTCAATACAAAACAGCAATGCTAGTTAAAATAAATGTGGAGTATTGAACTAAAACCTAACATGTAAATAGTTTAAAATTACAGATATTAAATTGAGACAGATCTGATCACTTAAGAATTTTGTGGATTTTTGTAAATTATTACTTGCTCAAATGTGCAATAAACAAGTTTCACATCATTGGAATACAAAACAAGATACTAAAATATTTGATAACTATAAAAATTAAAAACAAAATAGTTTTTGTTAACTTACTAACTCAGTATAATTATTTTTAGTTTTAATCAGTGGCTTTCAAGCTGCTTACTCATCTTATGAGGATATCTTAATGCCATTATTAGTTTCAACAAAGATAGTAAATTTTCAGAAATAAAACAATTCTTTACAGCTTTTTGTTATAATACTTACACAGCAGCCCCAAGAACAAAAGAACAGGCATGAGATATTAATAATGTTGGCAAATTTTCCATACAAAAAATTCCACCTCGCATCACTTTAGTGTTACGTACACTCAGCCGGTAACGCCGAGGATGTTTGTATTGTCCACTCAAATCCCTGAAAAGGATAAACAATTGACAAAATTAATAAAGAATATAATAGCTAAAAATATCAAGGTATAGAGAATTCTTTTAATGCTTTATAATAGGTCAGTTGCATAATTTTGTCTTCTAATTAATCAGCTAATTGAAATACTCTAAACAACACTTCTCAGAAAGCAATGATGGTTGAATCAGGAAGTGAGATGAATACTTAAATTTTATTTTTTAGGTGTTGCACACTAGGTATGTTAAGGAGGTTTCTTGTTTACTAACAATCTTATTAATAAATTACTAATTCGTTGTTTTCTAATACATTGCAAAACTCAGTCAATAGAGGATATAAAAGTTATATTTTTCAAGTATTAGTTTTCAAAAACATACAAAATAATAAAACAATCTACAAAATAAGCAATAAAACTAACAAAGAGGTTATATCTGTAATAACTTAAACTTTTAATGCCAGCAAAGGCAATTCAGATGTGACACAATATGAATACATGGAAGAATAAGGAATAATGAAACAAGATAAGTTTCATGAATAAAATAACCAGCACAGGGCAAGCAAGAGATTCAAATCTGGAATTAACCCAGAGTTTGTCAATAAGATCTAGTAGTATCTGGATTCCTTATGTGCCATTCTAGCCACTTGTGAAGATCAGGAACTCCTGTTCATGTTTGTATTTACATAGGTAATGTGTTTCATTATCTACACAAAATTTATTGAGAAAAGGCTACCATTAGTGAAGAATATATGATCATAAAGAAATTCAAATTGCTATTTTGGTTAAGTGTTGTTGGTTTGCCTCCAGATGAAAAGGAAAATGTTTTTGGAAAAGGCTGATCAGCAAAAAATTTATTACCCTGAATTTTGCAAAGGTTGGATACAGATTCACTATCATGATGCATTCTGGATCAGTGATTAATGATCACTGGTGTCAATATATATTTAGGAGCTCAAATTGACCAAGCCAAATCACTTTGTGTTTTCACATGACTTTTGCCAATTAGTGTGGTAAACTGACCCTTGAGTTTAACACAAATTGAATTTCTACAAGAACAGAATCAATACCTGTTTGAAATTACTAGACTTTCTAGAAAGTGACTGTCATGCCTTAAGAATGTAAAACCAAACTCCTTCAGGGACCATGAATTCATTCCATCTTGCTAGAAGCAGTGAATGTTTGAGAAGAGAAATTATACTTGAGCACTTTTATATTTGAAAAGCAATAAACCTACGTACATCTGAATAAAAAGATTTGGCAATTCCTTCCAGTTTAATTTTTTAGCCTGATAGAGGATTAATTCAACACAACCCTCAAACTATGGCACTATAAAAGAAAATGACATGCAATATCTTCATAATTGTAGATAAGAAACCTGCAATTTTTAGAATATGACTACTTCGCCTCACATACATTGAAGTTCAGAAATAATGGAGTACCCAATTTTTTTTTTTAGATTGAAAAACAGTCTGAAGTCTTTAAGTAAGCAAAAGCAATTAAGTTCAAATAAGCAATTATTGGGTTATGGTTCTTAATGTCCCAATCATGTAATACAATATACTGAAGCACAATATCAAATGTGATGTAACATTCTTTGTAAAACAATCTGCTAATTGTCTGTTGGTTTCATGCTACGAAAACATGAATTTGTCCATTATGAATGAACACTTTAATAACATCCATTTTAAACAAGTCATTTCTTTGTGACAAATTTTAATGACTTCACTGCTTCAAAGAGATTTACAGTCAGTGACACAAATTAGCAATAATATTTAAGGATCAATTTTAACTGTTCTGAGTTCTGCAGGACAGAAATTAAAACTACCAGATCAATGTGGCCTTTTTTTTCTGCAGTAAAATTATTGTGAACAATATATCTTATGCTCTTGAAGTTCTACTAAATCAGAGAATTTTCCTAATTCTCCAAGAAGAATCATGTATCCTCCTTGACTACCACCATTCAGAAGATTCATCAAAGCAGCACTAAAATTCATCAAATCTAATCTGTACCCATTTTGGATGATTTTTGCTCTAGCAATGACTTAGTTAACGGTCAGCAAATCCTTAAGAGTACTTTGCTTAATATTAGTTATCAAATCACAAACATCAAACAGGTTTGATGTGCTCACCATAGCAGTTGTCCCACTTTATACATCAGAAATCATTTTTCATTTTAATTCAGTCTTTCTGTACATGTAATCCATATGAATTAGTGATACACTGTCGGTGTGTGTGTGTGTTACTGATAAAGTTTTCAAATTTTTTTCACTTAACCAATTGAAATTATCCAACATGACTGGATAATACACCTACCAAGGAAGCAGTTGTATAAATTCAGTAGAATACTGTAGGAAGGACCATTTTTGATCATGACTAATTTGATTTTATTGTACCAGAGGTGAAAAGTATCAATTAACCCACAGATATCTGTAGAGACAACATATCATTATAATTTTCTTCTCTTGGTGATTTAACAAATTTTTCCATCCATAGTCCTTGCAGAAATGCAATTTTGTATGTTGTCATTAATCACCTCAGACTATTTTACATTTGGTATTTCCTATTTTTTTGTGGTAAAGTCACTTTCTTGAAGGAGTTCACACTTTTACCATTGCTAACAGTTTGTTACTTTGTGGTTTCAACATCATTGTTTACATTGCAGGTAATGGCCGACCTAACTACATACTGTTTTGGTACATGCAGAATCAATAATAGTATAAAATCAGAACTCTACAAAAAATATTCATTCTCAAAAATTCTATCTAAATCAAGAAGTTTGTTGTTAAACTCTTCAACAAAATTTTCTTTCATTTTGATGGAATCGGTTTTGTATAGGCATTCTCTTCACTTTGGCAAATCTTACACGTGTTTACCATATTTATTCAAAAGATTTGTTCCTTTGATTTTTGGTTTGGATCTTCCACATTTTCTTTTTGTATTGTACATTGCAGTTTCTTGTTTAATAGTAGTCAAGCATGCAGTTAGGGCTGCTGCTGTTGATGCTTTAGAGTAGTATTGTTTAACAATTTGAAGGCTAACACCACATCAAAGTAATTTTGCATTTAGTGCTTTTATCTTCAATCAAATTCTGCAATTTAATATAGACAGTCTCTGAAGAATCAGCAAAATTTTTCTATACCTCATAAGCACTATAAATAAATCATAAAATCCAGCAATTAAAATGTCTTTTTCATTGTCCTCATTTAGATCCTCTGCTTCACAGTTTAAAGCAGCTTCTCTAACTTTATCACTATATGATAACATTACTGCCAGTATTTGTTTTTAGGGTTTTTTTATCTTTGTTAGTCATCATCTGTCATATTTCTAATTAATTTTTCCTTCAAACTTTGGTAGATTTTTGTAATCTGAAGCCATTTTCACTATACTATTTTTAATTCAGTATAGGTAAAAAAGCACTGAACTTTTAGCTAATATGATCAAGTAAATAAAAATGGCTTCTATAAATCCCTACTACATTTCAAAGAGTTTTCTTTGCGAATGCCCCTTGATAAAATGTATATCAAGGTATACTCACAACAAAAGAGCAGTTTTTTGCATAGTAGAATACGACAGAGTGTATTTTTATGACTATAAACTAGACAAGTCTTTAAACAAATAAAAAACTTAAATTAGCAAGAATTCCATTTAAGAAAATACTGGGTAAGATTATTTAGTCACCAATAGTAAATTGCTGTGTAGAAACCAGATTCACACTCACCCATGTGGCTGTATTTCAGGTCGACTAGACCAATCCCAAATCCAATCTGTTCCAATTGGATCTACCTGAAAAAATAAAGAAATGATTGTCATTTTCTTAACTTTGGACATATAGTGTTATTTATAAAGCATGTGAACTTCTTTATGTATACATTTACTAATCTACATATTTAAGTAGACACACATTCCAAAATGGATTTGCTAAAATGTTAGATAGTAATTACATTCCAGAATAGCTCATTTCTTCTCAATTCCAATGAATTTTAATAAAACAGTTATTTTCTTATCATTCAGCTTATCTTATTTGAGAAATTTGATTTCTCAACATCAAAGATCAGAACTTTTCAAATGAAATGTTATCAGTGATGTATCAAAATTTAGTTGACACACCTAGTTTTATCTTTAGAGATAAGAACAAACTATAAAATGTCATTTAAAGAACTAACTTGTTAAACTTTTGAAATATGGCATAAAGAGAAAACACAAGTGACAAATCTATAAAATATGACAATCCATATTTAAGTACATCTTTCAGCTTGTGAAAATAATATTTAAAAAGTCACAGGTTTTACAATTATATCAAAGAATTTTTCAACAACAGCTAAACCTTTTAAATTTGTCTTACAGGTAAGTTTAGTTTAATTTGGCATAAATTAAAGTATGAGGCATTCAACAATAAATTATCTCACTACAGTAGCAATGGTTCACTAGGTTAACTTGCTAACCAACCATTGCTACTTGATTTAGACAACCTCTACTTGTTTCTCTCTCATATATATATATAATTAACAGAATAAAATAGTTCACATAACTTGTATATGAATCTGTATGTATATATACATACAAACATGTACTTTTTGAACAGTTATTTAACCATACATCATTTTCATTATATGTAATTATTAATTTTTTAGCATCCTATATTTTGGTAAGGACATTCTGTAATGTAAAAAAAAAATCTGTATATAGTACTGCTATATTATTAGGAAATAATTCTTTGAAGATACTTTGGATGTTAAAACTACAATTACCCCCCCCCCCGTCTAATAATAGTTTAGAAAATGCCAGACATCTGCAAATTCTATTAGGATTTTCAACATTTAAATAAATAAATAAAAATTACTCACCTGTGGACCTTCAGTATTTACCCATTCCTTTGGGCTGGTTGGAAGTTTAGGACTAAAGAAAATATACAAAGCAAAAAGTGAAACAAATTTATTTAAAAATAACTTCTAAGTAATTATCAGGTTAAATATAGCTACATAAATACATTTTTTTTTCTTTGCAAAAATTTGGCCTACTCCATATTTTGAAATTAATTATTTATATTTTTAAAGAAAAAGAAACTTGGCAAAAGATACAATATTAATTTCACCATCAAAACCTAAAAACACTTCATTTTTTTATATTTTTTCCATAACTATTTAAATCATATAGGAGGAGATTCATTAAAAGAGGTTAATCATTCCAAAAGCTTAAAAAAAAAAAAAAAAAAAAAAAAAAAAAAATGTTTCAAAATTATTTTTCTCTTATAATTCAATATATATTTAATGTCCATTTTCTATAGTTAAAAAAAAAAAAAAAAAAACATTAAACTGTAAACCATTGTACAATTTGAAGCAACTATCCAGTATTGAGGTGTTCTTAGGTACTTATAATTGTTTTTTTCTAAAAAAAAAAAAAAAAAAAAAAAAAGATTTGTTTAATAATTTGTTTAATAATTTACTTATAAAAATATTCACACTGACAAAAGTCAGTCATATTAGATTATAATAGATATTGAAAGAATCAAATAAAATATTAAATTATCAATTAACTATTATACCAATGTTGACACTAACAAAGCAAAAATCAATAAATAAAACTCTTAAATTCTAAAAATGCAAAATCTTATTTGAAGGACTTTCAAATTAATTTGAGTTATGCATGTTTAAACGATTTAATGATTAAAAAAATGTCAAATATATATATAAAAAAACAATTTTAGTCACTGAAAGTATCCTCACTTGGCCTTCTTGACAGACAAGCTTTAAAAGCATTGTATTAATTTAATCATCACCAATCATTTACAGAATTGCATTTAACTCATTTTTATAAAATTTTGGTGAAGATATAATTTTATGTAGAGTTCATACATAATTTTCTTTTTAATAGTTCTATATTATCTAATAAAATATGTAATATAAGATCTTTTAATTTTAAAACACTTCACAGCAAATAAAAAAAAAATCTGATACTGAATATAACAGGCTAATCAGTCTTCTCTAGACTTAGGTTTTAAGGTTTTATAATTTATTTCTTGAGTTACTATTAAGCTATAAAAATTTCATGCATTTTAGAAAACTCATGTAGCGAAAGTATAAGCACTGATCAAAAAAAAAAAAATAGTTGATACATGTGACTGAAATTTACGACATACACATTTCAATGCATTTTTATGATTTTTTTTGTCGGGATTGTGAATTTGAAAAATTTCTACATCTTACTTATTATAAAATGCAGATTGTGTGTGTGTGTGTGTGTACGTTTATATATTGGATTGGATTTCCTACATTTTTCAACAAAACTTCACAGGACTACGTAAAATTACCTTGCGGTGGTTCTAACAGCACCAAAAATTGGAAAAACAATTGTTTTTACACAAAATCAATTTGAAAACACGATTAAGAGGCATCACGAGAATGAAAGGGGGACAACTCACATCGAGTTATACTTATTATAAAACCCAAGGTGTGTGTGTGTGTTCATTTATATATGGGATCGAATTTCCTACATTTTTCAACAGATTTCAACAAAATTTCACTTTTTTTTGGCAGGTAGTGTTTCTTATTGTCTTGCACACTTTTTTCTTTATTTTTACATTCAGAATGCTTTAAAAATTCCATTTACAAGACAATTGTTTATAATAAAATTCTAGTCAATCGGTAGACTCATAATGATTGAAAACAATGTTTTTATTTGAGTTTGACCAATTCGTAAAAAAAAAAAAAAAAAACAACAACAAAAAAAAAAAACTAATTAAGACATGCGTGTCCATCAACCTTAAACAATAATCTTTGTCAATTTTATTTTTCAGTCTTTATGATGGTCGATACTTGATCTATCTCTTACTGTTACATCCCCAGGCAATGCCGGGCTCTACTGCTAGTTGAAAATAAAAATGGAGAAAAATAAGATGCATTAAAAAAAAAAAAAAAAAAAAAAAAAAAAACACATACAAAAAAAAAAAAAAAAAAAAAAAAAAAAAAAACAGAGATATGTGCCATTTATGGAGATGGTGCCATAGCTGAAAGTATTGTTTGTAAGTGACTCACTGGGTTCAGAAGTGGAAACTGATCTGGAAGATCAAGCACATTCTGGCACTGATTCTGCTAAATTGAAATACTGATTAAAAATAATCCAGGTCACAGCTATTCTGCATATATTGTATTGTTGTAAAGCATTTGAAAACCTACAATGTTTTGGCACCTCACAATGAAGAAAAAAAAATAAAATAAAAAGGACCACATTTCCATCTGTGATTCTCTGCTCAAACAACAAAAATGACCCATTTTTTTTATTTATTATTTTTTTTTAAAAGAACAGAGATAATGAAAAATGGATCATTTATGACAATGTGGAATTAAAAAAGTTCCTGGGAAAAATAAAATGAGCCATCATCAACCACTCCAAAAGCTGATTTATATCCAAAGAAGGTGAAGCTGTATATCTAGTGAAATTAGAAAGGCATTGTATATTATGAGCACCTTCTGCAAAATTAAAATGTTGAATTTAGACAAGTACTGTCTTAAATGGATAGGCAACAACAAACGATAAAAAGTGTTCAGAATTGGAAGAGTATTGTCTTCCATCAGAACAACGCTTAGCAGATTCAGAAAAAATTGCTATAGTTGGCTAGGATATCCTACTCCACCCACCATACTCACGTGACTTAGCACCTTCAGATTATCACTTATTTCAATTCCTACAAAATTCTCTAAATGGGAAAAACTTCAATTCTCTGGAAGCCTATAATAACCACTTAGACTAGTTCATCATCCAGAAAGTTGCTACTTTCTGGGAGAATGGAATCAAAGATGGTGAATGACAGTGGAACAAAATGACACATATGACTGAATAAATCTATGTACAAATATCTAAATATTGCCTTTGAAATTCACTTAAAAAAAGTTACAAACTTGTTCCAAGCCAATATTTTCTTGCTCCTTAATCAAAAGTTATATGCATACTGTTGTTTAAATATGTATAAGATGGGTAAAATTTTGCAAATATTTCACTGTTACAGAGATACAAGGGAAAGTAAAAAATTATCCACACTATTGTCTAAAGATATGCTATAGTGAAAGTGCAGATAATTCTTGACTTACCCTCATACATTTTTCCATTTGTGAAACTGGAATACTGAAAAAATTCAGTTCCTTTATGAAATAATCAAACACTAATTATTTACAAACATGTTCTCCAGTTTAATCTTCAATCATTTTTGTTGAAAAAGGTTTTAAAGATTTCTACAGAAGACTGACAAGACAGAATAAAGAGATCTAAATTATAGATAGATATGACAAATAAGAATAACCAACCTTCCTCTGTTGGATGATACTGTACTGTTTGGTCGAGAAGGAGTACGTGACTCTTGTTGTGCTTCTATTAGTAGCTTCTCCATATTGCCATTGTGAATAGATTCTGTGACTGTGTCTGGAGGTATTGACTGGTGGTAGAGTTCTACCCAAGAACCTACATTAAAGAAAGAAGTAATTTTAGATATTGACAGATAATATTTACTGTATATTTTACAAAAAAAATAAAAAAAATAACATGTAATATTATAAAACATGTAAAATTGACTTATGATCAAATAGAATTGAGATATCATGAGGGCACAGCCCCGAGTTGATCACAGTCAACAGTAACCAATAATGTATCCCTAGGTTGATCCTAATCAATAGTAACCCTACATCCCCTGCATTTGGTCTTTAGGTCCCTTCAGACCACCATGGTTACCATCTAGCTGACACCTAACTTGTTAATGCATTGCTGGTATCATGTTGAAGAGCACAGTTCCACTCAATCTAGCTGGTGTTTTTCTACTTCACTCCTCTGCCATGTTGTGTTTTTGATGTCCGAGTGTGAGAAGATTGCTGGTGAAGTAAACTGGAGCAAAGAACTGGTTGACAGCAAGGAGCTACACAAAAAAAGTATTCTTTGGAATAAAGAATTAACTCTGGTTAAAAATGTAACAATTTGGTTTATATATGATTTGTTGTATACAGCAGTTTTAACCTTACCCAATTGCTGTTATAAATCAAATGACACTGGGATTTCCTTCTGACGGTTACAGCCTGTGTTAGTAGAAATTTAAACTTCTAAGTTTTCATCTTCAGGGTTGGCACAAGATCTTGGTCAGGAGGTCTTGGCAAACAATGTGGATTCCAGTAGCAATCATCTCAAGCTTATATGAAGTCCTGCGTCTGGTAGGGGTGGGGTTGTCCAGGACCTGGGTTTGGTTATCTTCCACACTTAGCATCAACCGTTTTTTAAAATTCCATATATTTTCAAAAATATGCTTACTTCAGTGATTTTCCAAATTTAGGAGTTGTCCAGCATCCTTTTGAGAGTGGTCAGAGGAATTAAGCCATCCCTTAACTCCATCTCGCACTATTGCTCCATACAGGCAGTGTTAATCTCTGTTCCTTCTACTTTCTCAGCATCAAACCTCAGCCAATCTAAGGACCAGCACACTATCCCTGTGATGAATCCAAACTTTCAGAATCAATCTTTCATTATCAGCTTGTTTCATGCTGGGTTTTATTTTTTTTTTTTTTTAGGTGTTTTGATCAACCAGGACACACGGCCTCAGTATCAAGAGTTGTCACAGATAGGAAAGTAGCTTAAATCTGAAGATTAAATCATTGGTTAAATTCATTTGATTTGTATTTAAAATAAGTTAAAATGCCCAAACAAAAGTAATTTTTTTTTTTAAAGATATTGAAGTTAATATTTGTAAACAAAATTGACCATATCATTTGAGTTTTTATTGTTGAACATAAATACTCAGAAAACAATAACAGATGAGAAATTTAAGTTAATTATAATAATATAGATCCTATGAAAAAGATTTATCAACAATTATATACTTCATAAGAAAAATAAAGAGATTAAGCTTAATAACTGAAAGAAAAGAAAAATATTAGGAAGCTTTTGTTTGCATAAAATATTTTATATGTTGTCAATTCTAAAAGTAAAATAACAGGGTAATTGATAACAATCACAGTTAAGAGAAATATAGATATCCAAGCATTTTCTTTAAAATTATATAATATAAAAAAAAAAAAATAAATAAAAAAATAAAAAAAATAAATAAATAAATAAAAAAAATAGTCAACCTAACAAAGCCAACTCGTATTCTAAACTTGTATTCATTTTCAGATTCTTTTCAGGTAATGCCAAAGTGCTCAATTTTGGCAAAATATTTTATTCATATAAAAATTCTTAGACATTAAAATATTTTCCCTGATTTTCTTAAGCCTTAAATTACCTAATTAAATTGTATATTCTACCATACAAACATGGTTTTGGTTTGATAAATTCAAGGATTTTTTTGCATCTTCAACTTGCTGGGATCAGTATCCAGATAAGGAATATTAAATGGAGAGAAAAAGAAATGATAATTTAAAACTAGTAAATATGCTGCATACCAAGAAACTTCCTATTCCAGCATCAGGATTGTTGTAATATATTTGGAAAGAAATTATTATGTAACAAAATCATCTAGTTAACTTCCTTGCCCAGCAAAACACCTTTTCTGTTCCAATGCATCAGTTAAACAAGTTGAAGGATTCACTTCAAATTTACTGCAAGTTCATGGGTTGTTTGTATTACTTCAGTTTTCAAGTTATTCCAGACAGTTTTTTATCATTCAGTTCAAAAATGTCCTTTTTAAACATTACAAACTATTTTTAACACATTCTTACACCTACTGAACAATTCCCTTAAACTTCAATGATCCATTACTAAAACTTCCATTGTATTTTTGAAACAAATTTATCCTGAAGAGTAATAATTAAATGTGTTCTTTTTTTATATTCAGCCATAACTTTCACCAAAAATGAGCAATAAAAAGTTTAGTAAATATCAAAGACTAAGATTTTTCTAATATTGTAACATAAGGAACTTTTGCATCAACTAAATAAACTTCAAAATGCTCAGTTTCTCAATTAAAAAAGTTATTTGAATTATTTTGATAAATTTCAAACTAAAATATTTAAAAATCTAATATTGAAGAAAATTATTTTAAAATATTTTTTAACTCTTCATCCAAAATTTTTTTTAAATATCGCAATTTTTTAACATTTTTAGTGTATTTTATTGAAAGTAAGTACAGATTTTTTATCAAATGTTTTTAAGTTATTCAAAATTTTTTGGTTTTGTTACTCTTCATTTTAAACAGATTTTTCTTTTTTTTAGAAAACCCTGAAAACTGATTTCCAGTAATTCTAAAAACAAAAAGATAAATTTTATGAGCAAAACATTAAAAAATTAATAGCTGCATCTTTTGTTTTCAAAACCTGAATGTTACAATCTGTCACTGAGCTTACAAACTTAGAAAGTTTATAATGATGGATTTTCTCCCATACATCCATAATGGTCTGTTTCAGCATCTTAAGAGTTGAATATTGGGTGTTACCAATGTATACCTTTTGTCATCATTCTCCAAACATTTTCTAAGGGACTCAGACAAGCAGGCTACTTTATGGCAGAGGAAGTGATCACCGAAATATGAAAGAGTCATCTTTACAGAATGGCAACTCGAAGTCTTTCACTGAAATATCAATTCACAACCCCCTCTTTCTCTTATTGGTAGGTTTGGGATGGAACTGTTTTAGCATCTCTTGGTACTTGAGATTAGTCAAAGTTCTGTTAATAGTAATTAGTTAGTATAGCCCAGAACCAGTAAAGCCATCTCAGACCATAATTCCTCTACCAAAGCTATGAGCAACCCTTTTTGGTATTTTTTGCTATATATACGAAAAACTTATAGTGAAACTTCTGCCCTGACCTTATTCCACAGATCAGGATCATCTTTGTACATTAGCAACTGGATTTCTTGGTGTTTACATTTTCAACTCAGCTTGCACCAGTCCTATACGAGAGTTACTAGTCAATCTATTGTAAACAGAAGATCTCAATACTTATTCTACCAGGCTCATGTAAGTTTCTTAATCCCATTTGATAGATTCTCTATAACATTTGTTACAATTTGTCATCTATCTTGCTCAGAATTCTTCATTTTCTTGCCAAACCCAAATTTTCCAAAATTTAAAAAAGGCTTCACAGAATTCAGAGGAATCTGTGTTTCAAGTTTTATTTAAAAAAAATAAAAAAAAATTTCCTAACACAATTAAAAGGAACCTTTTGACATTTTCTGGGAATTCATCAGAATTACATAAAAGCATAAATTTCACAAAATGTTTTTATAGTTGCTAGGCATCAAGAAATGAGCTTTATTACAAATCCAAACTCATTTGACAATTAATAATTGAATAAAAAGTATTTCTGCATTTCACTTACATGTGAACTATAATTATCTGAGCATAACAAAAGAAAAAAAAAATCATTTTCCAGTGTTACTACAATTTCTGGATAGAGGGTCAAATATTTTAGATCCTTAAAAAAAAACAAAAAAAAAACAAACAAAACAAAACATCCCTCAGTTTTTTTTTAACTTTATTCAAACTGACTGGTCTACCTTTATTTTAAACCTTATAAAGCATCAAATACTATAACATCATATCATTATTTATCTTATAAAAAAGAGAATGTACCACATCCCCCCCCACATACACACCAAAGAGAATTGCACTTATACGGTGGAGCTAACATCTACCAAAAAAAAAAAAAAAATTTTATATGAAAATATAAAAAACATTCATTTTAACCAAACAAATTTGCATTGAGTTACAAGCATTGTTAAAAATGTTATACATTAAATTCAAAATAAAAAAAAATGGGGGGATATTTTTCACAAAACCCATGAAGTTTTACTTAGTTCCATTTCATCTTCAAGTGAATATTTATTTTTAAATTTACCGAGTTTTTAACGCACACATTATTATATATCTTACTGTTCTTCCTTTTATATATATATATATATATATATATATATATGCACACACTCTCCAGAATCTTAACACTAAGCTGTTAGCATTAAAAAAAAGAAAAAGAAAAAAAAGAGTATGTGCACCTCATTTTCATTCCATTTGTTCATGCTAACATATATACTTATTTGCCATCTAACTTTCAGATGCAGCAAAAAGCTACTAATGACAGAAAAAAAGAAGAAAGAGAAAAAGTAAAGTGATTTTAATAGCTTGAGCTTCTTATTTGGGTAGTAATAATCTAAATGAAGATAAAACATTGCTAAGCCATTATTAACAAAAGCATAAAGGGAAATTTAAATTATAATATACACTAAAATGAACCCTAACTTTATGAAATGATATGATTTCAACAATGAAAAAAAAAAAAAAAAAAAAAAAAAAAAACAAGAAATAGTGTCTTTTTATTTTTGGACTACTGCCTAGTTGGCATTCAGTAAGCATTTTAGAGTATTCTTAATTTTTTTGTAAATATAGAAACAACAAAAAAAAAAAAAAACAAAAAAAAAACAACAGCAACAAAATAAAACAGATAAATTCTTTTTTTGAGCACCATGTAAAATATTTTAATGAAGTAAC